GACTAGACATTAATCATGGAAAAGAAAGAGGGAATAGTGAAAAAGGAAGATTGATTCGACTAGTGACGCTTCTTTAGGTTTTGGACCCCTGGGTGGATGCGTCCTCCGCCTGACGCGTGGAATAGAAATACGAGCGCCGATACTCGCGTGGGCATTGTTTTCCGGTTTTGGCAATGGAATAACCTGTTAACAAAATTAACTAACTAAGAATAACCCGAAAATTTTCCCCAACAAACTTTCTGTTAATCTCAACTCCTCGGAAATTAAGAAAATAATCTGAATAAAAACCTTTAATCAAAATCTGGAAAAAAAAAAAAGATAATTTTTAATTTCACATTTAAGTAATTCAACTTGTTACATCAGATAATTCGAAAACTATTAAATATTTTTTTATATTCAAAGGTTGTTTGACAAAATTTAATATAAAAAATTAGCAATATTTATAAATGTCGATGTAGTGTGTGATTAAAAAGTTTATAGTTTTAATTTTTTAATGGCTAAAAATAAAATATGACACAACATTAAGGTGCTTAAAGTTGAATCCTTGGGACAGACATGTCTCCTCTGGTGGCACTAGCAACAAATTTAAAGTTAACAGTGTCTCCTCATGTATAGTATTTCTTTTGAAAGGCCATAATTAAATTTAGCTTCAGTTTCATTTGGATAAAAATTAAGATTTTGATAAAAAGTTGTGAAATATATGATCGAAAAATTAATAAAAATTATGGGTTTTATAAAATGCGTGGTTAAAAATAAATTTAAAAAATGAGTGTCAAACACGAACCTACAAACAAGAACCGCGGTTATTGTTATTATTATTATTATTTTTTTTGAATAATATTATCTAGTTCATGTTAAGCATCTATCTATGTATGATATGCCCAATGTTCCAGTTGCAATATGATGAGAAGATATTCCTCCGATCAAAACCTTTCACGCTCCATGCCGGATTTACAAGTTGTACTTTTTTTGTTAGTCCATAAGAATCGGACACCCATATTCCAGGACCATCCCTATGGGGGTGGTGAGGGAGAGTCCCAATTGGTAGGAAAAAAACTCATAACCCCTTGGGGTTATCCTGTACTTGGAAGCGGAAGTAGAAAAATGAATAAATATAG